CGCCTCGCCCGCCCAGGGCCCGGAGGGCGCAGGGCGGCGGACCGATGGGGCCTGGCCCAGTGCACCCAGCCTGGACGTGTCGGGTCTCCTGTCGGGCCCCTACCCCTGCCCGGACTCGACGCACCTCGAGCAGCTTTCTTTTGCTGGGGAGGAGAGGGGTAGACGCTGGAGATTTGTCAGCCGGGCACCTGTCCCCGAGCCTTTGGGGACCGGAGGGCATCGTTGCCCCGGGCGGCCTGGGCGGAGAGGCTGGCAGCAGCTGGGCGCGTGCTGCTTCCGAGAAACTGCAGAGAGCTCCTGATGGTTTGTGAGCCTGGAGCGTCGGGAAACACCGAGGCTCCGCCGGGCGCGAGGAGAAGGTGGTAAACCGCGTCTGTGTTTGTCCTCTGCTCCTGGAGCTTTGAAAAAGAGGAGGACACGCAGTCATCAGAAAGGACAAGAAAGATCCTGCAGCCCTGGTGGATTCCAGTCTCACACCCACCCATTTCAGCGCAGCAGAGTATGGAGCTATTTGGCTTCAGACCAGACAGTCCTGTGGCTGCCAGCCCACAGGGTCCCCAAGCTACCCAACAAATTCTCCCGTCCCGCAACCACTGTAAACATTCATCTGAAGTAGAATAAAAATACTTATGACATTTCTAAAATGGGACCTGTACCTTGGCCGCCCCTACTGTTTACAGCGTGGGCATGAAGTCCAAATGGGAGCTACAGAGTCCTTTCCTCCTGAAGGTGGCTTCATCCTGAACCTCGGGGGTCTGCTGCTATTCGTGAGGACACTGCCCAGTACATCCAAGCTCTTCGTGGTTCCAAGCAGATGCCTCTTGACCATCTCTGGGTCTAGAGTGCGAGCTGCAGCAGCATGCTGCTTTCTTTGAAGATGGGCGCCGAAGAGACATTCAGAAGAAAGAGTTGTCATCCATCAACTCGCTCTCGAGAGCACGACAAACAGCAGGACAAACAGCAGGGCCCAGCGGCTGAAGTCGAAGGAGAGCCAAGCTCTACAGGGAGTAGGTGGTGATGGTGATGGTGGTGGTGGTATGTGCTTTTCATTGATTTCAAAATAATCTGCCCACTCCTGATGGGATGGAGATCAGCAGGTGAGCTTGGCTATACTTTAATTTGCCTCCAAACCTAGAAATTCGGCTGGAACAGTTCTGGGGTGGAACTTCCCAGGTGACCATGAAGCAGACGGATGAACTTCCCATAAACACACTACAGGGATGTAGGTGGTGAATCCTCCAAACGTCTTCAAGTCAAACAAAAACTTCAGAACCATACCATGTTCCTCACAGTATGCTCACTGTCATAGAAAACAAAAACAAAATCAGCCTTTGGCCTCTTGAATGTATTCCTCTGCCTCTTTCTCTTGACTAGTCAAGACGTTTTCTAGGCTTCAGCAGGGGCCAGCAACTGGCCCGAGCATGTTCCCTGACTTCCACAGCTGGGAAGGTCTAAGTGTCCCTTGGAAATAAATCCCTGAGGCCAGAACACAGGCTGTCCCAGGAAAGAACGTAGGGCAGCACCTCTCCCTATTTTTACGAATAGCCTCCTAACCCTTTCTACTCAAGTTCATTCCCTACCTCTCCTCTCCACGACTCCATTTTAAACTCTTGTTTTGTTTGCAGGTATGCTGGCTTTGAGCACGTAAAATTGGCCAAGAATAGCAGACCTTTGAAATTTCCTTGGTTTATTTTCCTCTGAGGAGTAAGGTTGCGCATTGTAGTTGAGGTTTGTGATGTAATGAATAATGTGAAACTGGTCTAATGAGAGTAGAGATAGAGCAGAGACCTGTAGTGTTCCAGCCCCTCCTTTCCCTACCAGAGATGGTACCATGGGTCTGCTGTCACCATAGTTTTTCACTTTTCCTCCAGATGTTATTTCATCCTTGTAAGACTCTTCAAGTCTCTACATAAGCTGCTTTATAATTTTTGGCTTTAAATTTTTGCAGAAGTAGTCTAAGAGTATTTGCTTCTTGCACAATATTCAAACATTTTAAGTTATACAGAGGAAGCAGTATCATTTTCACTTCCAGTCAATGCACCTGCTCTCTCTCTCTTGGCAGCAAGTTCTGTGTCTCTTTCAGATGCCATTGGAGTGTTCACGGTGGTACACCCTTAGGCTGTGCATCTATTTCCAATTAAATTAGCTTACTGTGCTCTCTGATGTGGGTAACCTACCTCTTTGGGTAACCTAAAACCCACTAGCCAAACTTGATCAGCTTATCTTACTCTACCTTAATGCTTGCTTTAATATTTAAAGTTCATAGTGATCTCAACATTGTGGGCTTTCTGCTCATCAAAGAATACTGTATAAACACACAATAGTTAACATTCTCAAGAGGTTTAACAATCAATATAAATGTATTTCCTTGTATTTTGCTAGTCATTGAAACTTTCACTATTACTGAAAGCCATATTTGTTTCTTTTCCAACTCTTGGCTCTGGATGAAAGAGATTTTCAAATCTGTGGTCAATATCTAGCATTACTCAAGGCAATATTTTCAAACTATTTTGGTTTCTTGAAAGATTTGCCTCATTGATTTTTATCTTCCTAAACCTCTTTACTTAAGACTAACATGCACTCCTTTAGAATAATAAAGATTTGATGGCAAGAAACAAAATTTAAGTTTAATATGCCTCTTTATATTTCCAGTATTTGTCATATTTCTATTTTTGTATAAATACTCAGAAAGTACTTTTTGTTACTTGTAGTTTAATATTTACTCTCCAGGTACATTCAAGGAGTACAATAGTATGAACAAAATAAAAGGGGCTTTGGAAAGCTTACATTTAACTTTGATAAACAGGCCATGATACTATTAATAGATGCATTTTTAACTTTGAATATATTTGAAGCACAAAAAATTCAAGAAATTTTACAAACACAAAATTGACTCTAAAACAAGAAGACACTTATACTCTGAAAGAATTAAGTTTAGAAAAAATCCTCAAATCAAGCCTAACAACTAGGACCAAAAGAAAAATACCACCAAATGGTCTATTTCAAAAGACTGAATAGAGATAGTTTGTTCACACAGCTGAAATCTAAGTGGGATTGATTCTGGTAAGATTGTACCTGCCGCAAAGTGTTCATTAAAATATTTTTATATCTTGGATTTCAGTGAAATATGTGTTCTGTGGGGGGCAGGAAGATTTAGACTTTTGCAAAATTAATAAGTATAAATTTTCTTTTTTGCTACATTGTACTAAAAATAGCTTGAAAAAAAAGCATTTCCTCTTTCTACAAGAATAAATCAGGTTGGGCATGATGGTGCATGCCTGTAACCCAATACTTAGGAGGATGAGGCAGGAGGTTTGATTTGAGTTCAGGTCTAGTCTGAACTACATTGCAAGACCCCCCTTGTCGGGCGTGGTAGCACACGCCTGTAATCCTAGCACTCGGGAGGCAGATGCAGGAAGATTGCTGTGAGTTCGAGACCAGCCTGGGCTACATAGTGAGTTCCAGGTCGGTCTCAACTATATAGTGAGGTCCTGTCTCAAACCAAACAAACAAACAAAAAACAAAAACAACAAAAAAGACCCCATCTGAAAACAAGAACAAACAATAACAAAAAAATGAGTCAGATATTTTATGAACATGTAAATTACATGTTTTACAACTACCTGTGGCCAGAAATAAGGATCCTAGTTCTTATCGTGGCTGTTTGGTATTTAGCCATATAATCCTGAGCATATTATATAGAATCTTCAGGTGAAAGTTAAGAATAGTGGCAGGTGTTACATATGCCCTCTGAAGAGAATTATATCTATTTTACATGTTACTGCAAGAATTAAATGAAGTCATGATTTTACAGTTATTGACACATAATAAGCCCTTAATAAATAAAAGTTATTACCATTAGCGATTATGACAACAGGATTAGCTCTTGAGAAATGTTATATCGAGCTGTTTGATCATTAAATGAAGGTAAGATTTCCAGATAAAATACTGAATGTGAAGTTAAATTTGAATTTCAGATAAAAACCAAACAATTTTAGTACAAGTATTCCTTGTGCAATATTTGGAACATATACTACATATATTCATTATGTATCGGAAATTCACATTTAACTGGGTGTGCTTTGTTTTTATTTGCTAATGCTAGCAACCCTAATCATGTGTGAGAAAGATATAATAAGGAGTGAGGTGTGGTAAAAGGGGACCTTCTAGAAAACCTCAAAATATTTCTGGTGTTGTTCACTTGTAGTGGACCAGAAGATCACTTTGTCCTCCATTTAGGCTCCCACTACACTCCTACCCTTAATGGGGGAAAACATCTGCCAGATCAGCTTGTATTTCTTTCATCTTCCCAATTTCAAATTGTTCTGGTGCTGTGTTTAGTAAATGAATGCTTACTGAAAATTATCTTAAGCAAATAAAATCATAAATAGTTGGAGAGATAAGACTTACAAAACGTCAAACATCATCATATGGAACGAGACTATGTAATTGTGTTAAACTGAGCAGTGGGACACTAGTGCTGAGGGAGTAGAGGATAAGGAGAGATAATCAGTGAAAACTAGACTAATGAAGGGGGCTGTAGGACTACAGTTTGAGATGAAGAGGTTTTGGCCAGGCAGTGGAAATCTGAACTTCCTGGCTCTCTGGACACCTCTCCCCTGACTTTGTTCCCATTGAAACACTTTATAACTCCTAAGCTTGGCCTGTCAGACACTTTGGTCAATTATTAATAGGCAGTGTCTTTAACTGTCCCCTCACCTCTAACTTCCTCATACCCAACAGTATGGATAGTCTGAGTGCCGGTGTACTGTAAAATCCTGGGATTTACTTCATTTTTATCTTCCTTATTTCCTAGGAGCTCTTAAATTCAGAAGTTCACTTGATTTTAATATCCAAGGTTGCTGAATGACGAGGGGTTCCCAACAACAAGCGTTCTCAAACGCTTTTGAAATATGTGGTCATGTCACTGTTTTACTTCTGTTCAAGACATACTGTAAGAATGATACCTTGCCTGTGTAGTCTTAGACTGAACAGTTAAGGGCCAGTAATACCTCATAGTACTGATTGAAATATGCAGCATGGTTATCAGTATCTGACCTAGCTTGGAATTTCATCTCTTTTTGGGTAATGAAGTCAGTATGGGAGGAGACCAGGCCAGTTTAGGGAGTAGTGTACATCCTAGGTTACAAATTTCTGTTTAAAATATTAAATAATGAACATGTAGTGAGCTTCTGTTTTACCAAAACTTGATTTGTGTGTTTGAAGAGTGCCAGTTGTTGCCCTTCTGGAATTCCTGAAGTAGACGGATGTGGGAAAGCTCATGCCTGTGGGAAAGGAAGAATGATTAAGTGGGCTGGGGGATGTAGCTCAGTGGTAGAGTGCTTGCCTAAGACACACGAGGCCCTAGGTTTGATCTCCAAGACTGAAAAAGCAAACAAATCAATAGAAGAGAAATTAAATAACAGCAGCAAGTGAAAGATTCCACAATGAAGGCAAATGTTGAAAGTCTGAAGACTCAGGGGGGTGGATAACAGGAATGGATGAGGCTTCCTTGTTTTGAATTTTGATCCCAATTTTAAAAATGAATGGTAAAAAAAAAGGTGTTATGAAACTCCAAACTAGGTAAGTGCCAAGGGATAACACATGCAATGCAAAATGGGAGAATAATGGAGGTTTTGGTTTTTGGGGGAGGGGCACTGCTGAGGATTGAGCCTCACACATACTAGGGCAGGTGCCCTACCAGTGACCTCTATCCCCAGCCCAGTACAGTATTTTTTTTTTTAAGTAAACACCCTGCACTGGGGATGTAGCTCAGTGTTAAGAGCTCTTAACTAGCACAAAAATAAAAACTATTTAAGAAGTACCCACTATTTCATGCCATATGTGCTTAAGACTTTAAAAGCTTCCCAACACCCATGGAAACTATAATATTCAAGTCTTTTTGTACCTGACCAGATTGAGTGTGTTTTTTCCACTCTTCCTATAACCTGTTCCCCAACACACACACACACACACACACACACACACACACACACACACACACACTGACATACAACTCACACACAAGCACACACACATCCATCTCTCTTTACGTTCCCATTCCACACTGCTTATTCTGCCACTTATGCAAACGGAGCCACCAAGACAACATTACAAATACAGCCAGTCATCTGTAGATATCTGTATTTCCCTCCAATAAACTTTCAGGTCAGGCTTGCAAAGTGGAGCTGGAAGTGGATAGGAGAATTAGTTGTGAGGATGAGAAAGAGCAGAATCTAAGAAGAAAAGTATGATTTGAAGGCTGGCCAAAAGAAGACAGGGAAAACAAAAGAAGGATTTAAGAAAAACCCACACAAGAATTCAACTGAATGACTGGGAAGGGTCTTAGTACTCTTGGTAAGTGGGAGAGCTGGGTGTGTATGTGATCAGAGAGAGAAATTGAAAGCACTGCCAGTGAAAGAGTGGAAGAGAGATGACCAGGGACCAGTAAAGTGCTAGTTTAAAATGGTTGTTTTTTGTATCTGCTGTCATTTTACCACTGTACTGTATTACTCTCCCCTTTTTGCTTTTAAAGGCTTATGGGTTAAGTAGAAAGGGTTTTTATGTAAATGCTTTTTTTGTTTGTTTTTGTTTTTTTGTTTTTGGTAGTAGGGATCAAACTTGGGTCCTTGCACTTGCGAGGGCAGATGGCAGAATCATTGAGCTAAATCCTGGCTAGATAAAATGTTTAAAAGGTAAAAACATGCACATATCAAAACATGCAAACAACACAATGTCATTGGGAAGGAAGCCCTGAATTCCTGGCTACCATCTCTTTTCTTTTTCTCTTTTTCTTTTTTCTGGTACTGGGGATTAAACACTAGGCAAGTGTTCTACCAGCCAGATCTCTTACTTCTCTACAATACTGTTAGCGATTTTTTTCTCTATCCAGAGACTTACATTTTTAATTTGTCTTTATAAGTATACAAGAGTTGATAAAATGTCTTTATGAGATATTTCCAAAAATATTATGAATGCAGCTGCTGTGTGACATCCAACCACAAAGCAGGCTCCTAAAAATATTACAGCACATCCTCATCTACCTGTCTCACTGAACCCGGACCCATGTGACTTCTGGCTCTTCCGTAAAGTCCAAATGGCCATGAAAGGTAAATGCTTTGAGTTGATTCATGACAAGCAAGCTACAACAGAGCAATGAAAGACACTTATGCAAGAGGACTTCCAGAATTGTTTCAGAAAGTGGCAAGAACAATGGATGTGTTCAAAGTAAAGGGGAATATTTAGAGGGGTTGATGGCAATGTCTTTTACTATAATAATTTTTAAAAAATTTAACAGCCGGGCGTGGTGGTGCATGCCTGTAATCCCAGCACTTGGGAGGCTGAGGCAGGAGGATCGCTGTTGAGTTTGAGACCAGCCTGAGCTACATAGTGAGTTCCAGGTCAGTCTTACTACATAGTGAGACCCTGCCTC